GTTTAGGTAACTTTCATTCAGAAATTATTGTTCTTTGCAGGCATATACCTGTCACATAATGACATAATAATGACTGCTTTTCTATTGGATAGTTTTCAGGACATCATGATACACTGGTCCAGCTCAAGCACACAGGCAAAAGCACATGGCTTTGAGATATATTGAGCCATATTACTTTCTGCTGCATATGGAACTTGTATTCTTCTTGTATACTTCTTGTATATTCTCATTTTAATAGCTCTCCATTAAAAAAAAAAATTGGAACACTTGAATTCAGCAACTCTCAGTTCTTCATGATAGCTTATGGAACTCACTAACAACATTTGCTAAACCATGGATCATATTTCCTATATTAAATTAAGATGCAGGGTAAATAAGATTGCACTGGGCAAAGCTTATTTTTAGCAAAACCTTATGGGATCACACATGTAAGTGTCAGTGACTGTGTGCTTAGTAGTTTTTTATCTGCTCATGGTTGACACAGAGCCAACCATGTCAATAATTTCATAGTAAGATCAATTAGGACCATTATTTTAAAAGGTCTCTTTACAGTCCTGTAACAGGATTTTTCTGCACTCAATTATCTTATTTTGTGTTTTTGATTTCTAGCCCAATATGTGGGTGTGGTGTAAGGTAACTTCTTATCTCCTAAGCATGTTGGTTTTCAGGATGTATTTTGGACATAAGAATGCATCAACTTCTGTCTCTGCCTTTTGTTTTCATTTTGTCTAATGCAGTTTAAAAAATGCTCTTTTCCTTAAGTGCTCTGAAATAATTTAATTGCTTGAGTATGTTAGAAACAATAACCAAAAAAGCAAAATACCTTGATATGTTGTACTGTCAAATCACATGACCAAAGAAACCCATAAAAATTGAAAATTATCACAGCACAAAAATATAATTAAATTTTCTTCTTTTATTTGTGTCTCCACCCAGGGTGTAAACACACACCCAGACATTCATTTATCTCTACAAATCTCTAGCCTCACCAAAACAATAATTAAATCCAGACTTAAAACTCTGAGTCAAGTGGATTTTTTTGAGAAATCTCCAAGAGTTTGTTTCCTATTTCTGTTTTCTAATTCTATAAACCCATACTAGTAGTTTTACGGTGAAGGACAGTGCCTGGAACAGTTCTCTTTAAAGGCATCTCACAATAATATGTTCTACAGGTAATGTAATGGAGTTACAATTTTCCAGTTTTGTTTTGTACCATGCACTCACACCTTTCACTTTTACCTTTTACATAAAACAGAATGTTATGAAACAGGACAAAAATAACTTAGGATTGTATGAAAAATAACTGTAAAAAAATCACAAAACTACACATACTAGTAAAGCAAAAGGTGTAACTCTTTTGAATTTTTGTTTTTTTTCATGACGTGCAACAGACATTTCTTTAGAGCAAGATATATCAGCCAAATATATAGTATGGCAAATTAAGATCATATGTATATATGTAAGCATGTATAAATATGTAGATTACTCTGTAACCTTTAGGAAAAACATAATCCCACTTTCTCTCTTCACCAAAGTGCTTTGTGTAAAAAATATTACACAAGATGCTGTTTTCTGTACAGATGCTGCTTTCTGTACAGAACAAAAGGATTTCTTTTTCTTAAATAAACTCAGCTAATTTTAATTTGTGGTCTTTATCTTTTGATTTAACTGCTTCAAGGAATTACATATATATATACAAAAAGCCCCAAACCAAGAACAAAATTTCAGACAAACAAGAAGAAAGTGCCATTTAAAAATTCTGCTATAAAATTACACAGGGAAAACAGGGAATAAACTGTTAAAATGTAGTTTTTATATTCATTCACATCTTTTCAAGAAAAGCTGAAAACAATACACAGTGTGAGAGATGGCCTTAGCACTGCCATTCTTCAGCATCTGGTAGTAGTAAACCACAATGCCTACATGTTTGTGTGTACACACACATAGAAAGGGAGCCTCAAATCCACACGTGCACCCTCATACACTTCCACTTGTACACATGCACTTTGAAACTGTATTTTAAGCTCCAGTGTAGAACCATTTCTAATGCAGATATAAATAGACCACTGAGTCGGGAAAGAGTTACATTGTATAAAAGAATAATTGTAAATAATTTATTTTGAATATTGTTTAATGTCTGTAGTCTAAAATAACTTCACCTCTTAGATATGAATCCCTTTAGAAAGTTAACAGTACAGCAAGTAGAATAACAACACAAATCTCACTGAGGCACAAGTATCTGCGAATAACTCAGTTATGCAGATAACCCACAAAATTGTATTTTCTCCAGCACCATTTTTGATTGTGACAAACAGGATTCCCTATTTAAATATCCAATATACATGAGATACAATGGGGCTTTTTATGCAATTGCCCTCAGCGATTAAATTGATGTCTCAAAGTCAGTCCAACTCCAAAGAGAATAATGAAATAATAGTGAAGAATCCTCTTTGTCTCTGAATGAGAAGTAAACAAAGGCCTACCTTTTTACAGACTGGTAGCCCATATTCATGTGCTTGATTTGACTGTTCTCTAGGGCCTTCTTTTTAAGATTAAGGCTCATGGAAAGTTGTAAATATATATATATATGTATTATATGTATGTGAAAGAATGAATTAATGACTTGCAAAAGTTTCCTTTTTTGAAGGTAACTGATGAACCCCCAAGTTGAAAATGCCCTTTTTGAATTCTGTACTCCCACTTTCCCTTTGGTCAGCATGTTTCAAAATGGATAATTCCCCAACTCTACAGAACAATTTGTACATTCAGATACTAGAAAAAATATTTCAAAAAGTTTAAAAGTCAAGGTAGTGCAGATCTGAAGACAGCAACAATATTTTAACTTTGTAAACAGCACTGGACAAATTCTGACAACCACGTGGTTAAAAGAATTTTGAAGGATTTGTATATAGCGAAGTATATAGGTACATGCATATGTCCACACGTAGTCTGATCCTGCCCTTGCTGACTTTGGTGGAACAAAACACAATTCCACACATTTGAAATTGAAGTGTTCAGTGAGACTAATTATTCCTACTGAAGTAAGTTACGCTTGTGTGGTGACGACAGAATGGGCTTTAAGGCAGTATAAAAGTTTTATTAAAAAGCAAAATTTGCAGTCAGTGCACATTATGCAAAAGGACTGTCTCTCTGATTGCATGTGTATAGCTGTGAAGGATGCCTGGTGTCTTTTAATCCAATGCAAATCACATATGGTAACATCTAGACCTCTTAGTGAAAGCTGGAGCAGAGGGACACATTCTCTTGTGATGTGAGAAACAGAATCTATGGGGGAAGAATTTAGCACAGAATTAGCTGCATTTTAATCCCTTCTTGTTGTACTTCATTTATGTGCATGGTTTATCCATCTAGTCTATGTATCAGATGAAAATCTCTCCATTAAATATTTAAGCAGATGACTGCACATAAGAATATACTTCCTGAATACAAACCTCAAAAGATTGCCAGTGTTCACAAACATCTGGACATAAATTAATCTGTTCCACATAACTGCAGATTAAATTATGAACTGGACCCAAATTGGATTTAACAGCTCTCAGAAGTTTGCCAGGAAAAACAAAGGTTGCATAAACATTTTTATTTTATCTTTTTGGAAGAGTTATTTCTGAAGCATAGTTATGGTCCAGCCTGCAAGGATGAACTTTTCTGTCCTTACTCTATCAGGTCATGAGAATATTATGTTGTACACTACACAGTAAGAAGACCACAAAATGGATGAACAGGAATTAAAACCTAAAAACTCAGTCTTACTAGTAAGAGCTGTTCTCAAGGCACAGAGGATCACAGTGATGATATCTCCAATGCAAAATACTGGTTTTAACTCATAACCTTGTATGTTTTATGAAGGACAATCTAGTTTGCTTGCATCCTGGACTAAATTTGAGGACCTTGAGCCTGACATTGATCAGAAAAATCAAAACCACCAAACCAGTCCAGTTTTATCTTTCTAAGTAACCAGAGGAATTATAGTACACTTAAGAGTAATTCTTTCTGAAAATGTGTTATGGAAAAATATTAGGACAACCAAAATTTAGTTGAATCAGTACAAATAGCTTAAAAAAAAAAAAGAAAAAAAAAGAAAAAAAAAATGGAATTTAAGGAAGAATCTTTCCTACAAAAGATTTTAAATCTTCCTGATGAAGACTATAGCACATACAGCAACAATGCTCTACAATCTAATTAAAAAGCAACTGAAAGTTAAAATGCATTTATGCTTATCTGGCAGATGTGCTAAATAGACACAAAGCCCATGTAACTTCTTGTGTATTTAAACCACCTTTTTCATGCTTAAAGGGTCAGAATTAATACTGGAAAAACAGTAATAGCCGTACTGTGTGGCTTAAAATAAAGAGGGAAGGAAAGGACTCCTAACCTGAGGCCTGTAAGAAATTCTCTACCAACAACCTATGATCCAAAAAGCCACACCAATGCCTCCAATAGGTAGTGCTTATATATATGTCTAACTTCTCTCCCTTTTGGATACTGGCGTGTGTTAAACTTTGGAACTATCACATGCAGATAGGTTGTGCAAAAACTGTATGCCTTTGAAATGTTTGTAGTATGCTCTGGTTTTGCTTTTCCTTTTTTGAAAAAGAAATTTTCTAAAGCTGTATTCTTCTGTAAGTGCAGCCATCCAGCTTGAAAGGATTACAGCCAACAACCAGTTTTATTATTTGGTCTCTGAATTCCCTTTGAGAAATTAAAAGAAGAAATAATTTTAAAAGTATAGTTGCTGTACCACAGATGAAAAGAAAATAAACAATTGCGAAGGTTTTGGCAAAGCTTGCTTTCTCCAAACATTCTCCTTCTCAGCTGGCTGCTTGATTAAATGAAGATGCTTTTCCTCTCCATTATGTATGTATATCTAGTCATATCCCCATACATACATGGCAGTTTCATGGAGAGAAAAAATTTGTAGGGAAATAACAGAAGGGCAAGATGAAACAGAATCAAGTTCTTGTATCTAGATATACATTACTTTAGCCTTCAGTGTATACAGAAGAAAGTTGGCTGGAACAATGATCCACTGCATTTACTTGTAGGAAACTGCTGTCCTCTGGCATGCTGCAAGCTGAATCACCAATGATACCTACAGACCGTGCAGGAAAGTCATACACTGGGAGAAGAATCAAAACAAAAAAGCCCCAGTTAATAAGTAGGATAAGTATATAATGAAGTATGTCCTAATACTTATGCATAGAACTGGAAATGGTTTTAAATCAAATACACAAATAAAATAAACAAGCCAATATGTGTAGGAAATTAATTACACAACTTACTGCTTACCAAGGGAGGAATTTTCAGTGGTCTCAGAATCAAGCCTGAAGTAGAGCAGATTTCATTGCAACTAACACCTCCCCATTTAATGAGTGTTAAAATTGTGATTATTTTAAAAATAAACTTCACACTTGTTTAACAAATTTCAGCATATTGAACACAGGATAAAAGACAACAAAATATTGTAGAATATTGCCATAAAGTAGACCCTGGCACAGAAATTACTGCCTTTTGCAAGTGACAATAGTAAGCCCAAGAATAACTGAGACACACTCCCATCTTTTGGATAACATGTTTACATACTGTGAGATTCCTCTTTGTAATTACAGGTGCACTGTATTTGCAATACACTTCTGAAGGACCAAGACATAAGAGGGACTTCAAAGCACAATAAATGTTAAGTGGATTCATCCTGTGTGGAAGGGCAGTAAAAGACCTGGGCATTAGTTGAGCGCTAAGATTAGGCTCACTTTGCAAAGAGATCTTTCAACCTTCCAGAGTAGCATGCAAGCCCCTTAAGTACTTTTCATCTAGCGATAGACTAAGTTACATGCACACAGATGAGTGTGCATCCAGGCAGTTTTTGTCATGGAAACACAAATAAATGAAATTCAAGACTGATAAAATGCAGTCCAAATATGCACCAAGCAAAATCAGTAGTTTGAATAATCTCAGGTCCCTGCCACAATATGTGGAGTGGAGTGGCTGCACAAATATCACAGAGGGCTCAATGGACTGTATTTCAGCTCAAATACACAAGCCAGAGACTGTCTAAGCCCCACAGGCTATAACCTTGAGAAGCCTTCAGCAGTGTTCAGACTGCACACAGGCCAGTTGTTACTGTCACCTATGGCAACTTCCAGCCTCCAAACACCAACCGCTCCATGAAGGTCTGAAAACTATCTCCTCTTTGTAAAAAGTCAAATCTGTCATGACATGTCCCATCCAAATGCCAAATACACAGCTCATGCACATCTGCCAAAGTTCACAAACTCTACACAATCATACATGGAGTGACCAGCTGTTATTTACCTTTGATACCAGAATGATCTGACAAACTTCCATGGAAAATGCCAAGCCCTCCCTGGCCTGCTGATGTGAGAGCTGAGCAGTCAACAGGAGGAGCCATATTGCAAGAAACACTGTCTTGAAGGTTCTTCTGAGTGTCAGCATATTGTGGAGGGCAGAAAGTCTGAAGCTGCCCATAAAAACCTAGAATGAGAAGAAGACCATCAGTAAAAGACCTGGACAGAGATAAAATGGATAGTATATGGAACCATGGCCATGAGAATGATAAAAACCTCAACTGCCCTACCATCAGGTCTTCAATAATTTTAAACAAATAAAGAAGTATTGATATGATGCTCCCTAAAACTTCCTCAGGTTCCTGCTAGTTTCTAACACAATCTACTACATGGACATCCTGATTCCACCATGGCCTGTGAGAGGCACTGACTGGCTAGAAGCTGAAATTTTTCAGGACATTTCTCCCTGTCCTGTGCAATCCTGTGTCTGAACTGGTGCTCTCCAGAGTCACACTGTGCATCTGCCTGAAAAATCTAAGAAAATGCTAAATTCAAAAGGAAAGAAGATTATGCAAGTAAAGTCTGAATAAAATCCAAGGATCTATCACTGATGCCAAGACAGCTGGCTGATAGTAGGGTCATGCATAGAGACTCTAAGCAAAAATTTTTTATGATGGAATGAGAGCACAGAAAAGTAGTGTAACTTTCATACATACAAGTTATTTTCACAATTCAGTGTCAATTGTCCATCTTTAAAAATAGAGAGTCATAAACAAGAAATAAGCATATGTGGTTCTCTTCCCTTCAGTTACTTAGCACTATTCTAAATGTCTTTGTGAGCATCTGCAGTGCATCAAGCCACAGTGCAGAGCTCTTAGAACTGGAGACCAGTTCTAAGGAACATGACACAGCAAAATCTCCTAACTTGGTGTCTTTATTCACACAGCGTCATGCCCAAGATATTCTACAATAGCTGAATGCAGGATAACAGGAAACCATATCCAATTCAGGCAGCAGACCCTGACCACACTTGAGATATCTCTTAGGTAACTAACTGTACCATCAGATTTCTGTGTTTTCATGCAGCACTGGAAAAACCAAAAAAAAAGGGCAAACAGGTTGGCTAATAAATTTCCGGCAAGTGAACATTTCAGCTGCAACTCTGGACTGTAAAATTTTGTCTCTTATTAAACTATTTAAAACACACACATGCACAAGGTTATATTAGCTGTGTTTCTTTGAATCAGTACACTACAGCCAAGATTCATGATGTCAAGGTACAGAAACAAACAGCTATTCTGACATGACAGCATAAACTCCCCAGAAAAGTGAAGTATTTTTGAAAATTATAGAAGTGTAAACTGTAAGAATTGTTTCTAAAAGAAGTTCTTGTTTTTTTATAACATAAAGGGTCTTGTTCTGAAGGCTCGTTCTAAACAGCCCTGGTAGACAGCTCAGCTCAAATTCACTTGTACAGTTGTGGTCCACACACATTTGTAATAGCGTCCTTATCCTATTGAACTGTTGTGGACAAATATTTCATTATAGATATGCAATGAATGACTGCCACAATTATAATTTCCATATGGTAGGAAGTTTCTGATGGACATCTATTTCCTCCTCAGTCATCTCTCCACCTGTCACAAGAAAGAGAGAATATTTTCTCAAGAAAATCATTATAGTTGCCATTCAGAAATATATGCCATGCATGAGTAGTCTTTGCTTCTATAGCATGTAAAAATTCCAGCTGTCTTTGGTCTGAAATACTTCAAGATAGTATTTCTTTGCAGTATATTTCTGCATGTCCACTAGGCAAATTACTCAAATACCATGTAATCACGTGATACCATCTGGCTATGAAGAACAAAAGGAAAAGAAAGAGTAAGAGAGAGATCCAAGTCACAAACTACTAACAGACAAATTTGCAAATGTGAAAAAATAGAAATGTCTTTGTTTATTGAAATATTATTATTTTTAATTTAAAGATAGCTGTTACTAGTAGACCTGTCTGTATAGAGGCACTAATATAACTAACTCATATAAGCTAACAATTTTTTTAAAGAAATGACAACTTTTTCTTTTCTTTAAATGAATACTTTGCTTTTTTTTTATTTTTTTTATTACTTTCATAACTCAGACAGCTCTGATCATCAGCTTAACTCACAAAGACATGTGAGCAGAGTTACAGACACCATTTTAAAGAACAACCAGATTTCTAGTGCAAAAATGTTCACAGTATCAGATGCATCCAAAAGCAAGTCAGCTTTGCCCATGCCCAAAGAAGTTTTACCTTTACTTTTTAGTTTTAAAGTTTTACCTTTTACCTTTACTACACAGCACAATAAATTTTTTCACTGTGGAGAGAGAACTTCTGTTGCTGCTCTTTCCTTTTATACCTAGCACATCTCTTCTGGCTTGTGATGAAGAGAAGCAATACCATATTCTGGCATCTGCCTGAGGACTGTAGGTGCCTGTGTCTTCAGACACCTCTCCTGAGAGTAGTTTTTCATGGTTGAAAAGAATCACCAGTACAATACAGGTGCTGGGCAAATTGTTGCAGATTTTCTGTCTACAAACACATATTACATTGGCATACAACAGCATCTAGCTGGGGAAGCTGTCATTCCAGTCTCCAAGTCAGGATAGTTTCAGATTTATGGAATGGTAATACAGTAAAAGATACTACAATCTAATGAAAGGAAAAGAAGAGCTTTGCTTCTACAGCTCAGTGAGGCATCTAACATCAATTCTGAACATTCCACGCAGCAAAGGATATTGGGAATTTCACAAGAGCAAGAAAAGGCAATATTTTGTTAATTATGTAATATTAACTGAGGCAATAGAAAGCCCTCTCTGACATTACTGTGTATGTTGAAAATCACTCAGAACAAATAATGAAGCTTGAATTGTAGGCAACGTTCTTCCAAGGAAAAGACATTTCAAAATACAAGTAGTTATTAGATACAAGGAGGCTGTCAGTCTTGGATCGCATAAATATTTCTCTCTAAAGGATAGTACTCTGAGCTCACCACGGTCTTTTAAGATGTTCAGGCTTTCAGAAACTGTGTCTGTTTAGAACTTGTTTTCTTCAAAAAGCTTTTGGGCAATGAAACTCTTTCTTCCTTGATAAAACCAATTTATATGGAACTGACAAGTTTAAGTCTACATACTGAGGCAGATTAGCACCATTGTCTACTAGCAGATTGAGTTGAAGTGGCTATAGTTACAGCACTTGAAATTTTGAAAAGCTAGGTTATGAACTGCAGGAGATAGAAATTAACAGAACTTCCCACAGCCACTTCTTGTATACATAATTGTATGGTATGGAGATAACTGAATGGTGTTTTTCTGCATTGTAGTGAATTGACCAAGGAAGACAGCAATCTTTGTATTGGTCCTGGGGAAACATAAACTCTTCAAACATCTGCTTTTGAGAGAGAGAATTTAGGTAGGCCCTTAAGGCACACAGGACAAGGCTTTCAATGTAGTATATATAGGATGAGACAGCTGTGCTTTAGCTGGAGGCAGTACATTCTGACAAAATACCTTGTACAGTGACAACAGGTTACATGATCTTCGAAAAAACATTTAATACCCACATTGTGGGTATTGAATTGCACTGTACTGTATCTTTCAATACCAAAAAAAAAAAAAAAAAAAAAAAAAAATTCACTCTACATTGTCTTCACACTAGTTTTGAGTGCAAAATTGTTTAGAATTTGAACTTTGAGTTCAAATTTTTGTGCAAATAATTCCTGTCAGCAGTGTGTCTATTTTCAACATAAGTTTTCATAGGAGAGTGAAGCAGACACAGTAATGATAACATGGGACAAAGTATCATACAGGTTTAAGGTCCAAGTCCTTGAAAGTCAACCATTTTACGATCTCAGAAGATTAAAGTGTATCTTAAATTTGGGCACGTAACACGGCTTCAATTCAAATGTGACATTCACTCAGATGAAGGTCTCTAGTGGGCCTTCTTCTCATAAAGAATAATGACCCACATCTTTAGCTTTTTTAATCCTCTTTGGACTGTAAGAGAGGGAGATGAGAACACAGTAGCATTGTTTTGCCTGCCTGAAGAGAAGATGCCCAAGGAAATATGAAGGCTGCTGCACAAGCCAGTGCAAGTCCTGTGTGGAGCAACAGTTAATCCAGGGTGATTTGTGAATCCCTGGGAGGCAGGATTCTTTGGAAAGTCTTCTACTTTGGAGCAACTGGTTGTATTCCCAACTTCTAGGATTCCTAAAGCTCCCATGGCCATGAGGGGAAGAAGATGGTAAAGCCATCTGTATAACTGAAAGACAATTTTTCTTCCAGGCAAGAAGAGAGATCTTAATGTCTCAATGCCTTTCAAGATTATTTCTTGCCAAATGTTCAACAAAAAAGGGAATAAAGTAAAATGTTTTGTACTGTGGAAATAGAAGGGCTAACCTGATCCCTTCAACCCTTGCACTAGCATTTTACTGGATCTGTTCTGGCATGTTTTCATGTATGTCATATGACAATGAACTGTATATTAAGAAATTTCATCCTGTACTCTGTTTGCTATACATTCATTATTAATGAAACGTCTATCAGAGAATATAGAAAGCCAGCTATAACTGCTTATGTCCATTGGTGAATTTCATGTTCTTCTAGTACTGATCAGTGCTGTAAAGAATTATTACTTTGTGGAGAAAACCACCTGCCTCAGATCCTGCTTCTCCATGGCCAGTACAATATGAAGAATGTAACAGGATTGGCACTTTCCTTGCTTTCCTTCACATTTATGAACTCAGGAAGATGCCTGTTTCCTCTCTTTGCTGAGAGAGACTGCTTACATCAGTGGAAGAAAATAAAAGATGCCTTGTGTCATGGTTTGACACTGGCCTAACGCCAGGCACCCACAAGGGTTGCTCAGTGACCCTTCCCTGCTATAGCTGGGCAGCAGAAGAAAAAGGGAAAAAAATTAACAAAGGGTTCATGAATGAGATAAAGGTCAAGAGAAAACACTTCAAGGGCAAAACAGGCTCAACTTAAGGTTGTAAAGTGAAATTTATTACTAACAGAATCAGAGGAGGCTAATGAGAAGTAAAATAAGCCCTTAAAACACCTTTTCCCACCCAGACACTCCCTGCTTCCCACCAACAGCACAGGGAGACAGGGCATGGGGGGTTTGGTCAGTTCATCATTAAAATTTTCTTCCACTGCTCAGGGAGAGGAGTCCTTCCCCTGTGAGTCCATGGGGTCCCTCCTATGAGACACAGTTCTCTGTGAACTTCTCCAGCGTGGGTCCACTCTCACAAGCAGCAGCCAAACCACACCTGCTGCAACCTCAGTCCCTCCCACAGGCAGACAGTCCTCCCAAAACTGCTGTGGCATGGTCACTCTTCCACGGGGTGCAGTCCTCCAAGGACAGGCTGCTCCAGCCTGGAAGCAGGGCCCCTTCTCTCCATAGAGTCTCCCACTGGATCACAGCCTCCTCCAGGCATCCACCCGCTCCAGCATGGGCAGCTCCCCCATGGGCTGTGGGTGGATCTCTGCATCCCCCGTGGATCCCCATGGGCTGCAGAGGCACAGCTGCTTCACCCTGCTCTCACCACGGCCTGCAGAGGAATCTCGGCTCCGGTGCCTGGAGCACCTCCTGCCCTCCTTCTGCACTGACCTTGGTGCTGCTGTGTTGTTTCCCGCACATGCTCTTATCTCCTCCTCTTCTCTGACTAGAAGCAAAACTGTGCCCACTTTGTTCTGATTTTCTTCTTAAATACATCATCACAGAGGCGTTACCAACCTCATTCCTTGGCCCAGTTTTGGCCAGCAGCATGTCCATTTTCAGAGCCATCAGGGATTGGCTCTGCTGGACATGGTGGAAGCTTCTGGCAGCTTCTTACAGGAGCCATCTTTGTGGCCCCTCTGCTACCAAAAACCAAACTGTGCAAAAGCAATACACCTTGCTCTTCCCAGGATGTTTCCTATGATATCTACAATGATAATTCTCAGGAAGCCTGATCAATAAGCAGAATCCTAAGACCTTTAAAAGTCCAGCCTGCTATGTAACTTGTGTCTGTAAGTATGGCAAATTATGTATTTAAACAGTTGAGAGGAAACAACAATACTGCTGTGAACTCCTGAAATGTTAAGGTAATTAGCATTCATTCTCCACCAGCTGGGAAAAACAAACAAACAAAACAACCCATGAGCTGATGATTTTTTTTTTTTTTTGGCTACAAAAGCAATATACAGGATTGAAGAGAGAGAGAGGTCTTGTAGAAGTTGATTACACAGCACAAGTGAGAACACAGCTGCAAGAGTCTTCCATGCTTACACAAGAAGAGTTCTCCATCTCCCCATAAGTGCAAGGGACAAAAATATCTTACCTCTTGAAAAGCAAGTTAACACTTGTGTGCTATATCAGGAGGGATTAGAAGTATAACATTAGAAAATTTAAAGCCATCAGAATTTTTTGCCATTCTGTGTCAAGAACAGCACTGAAAATCAATATGAGAAACATGTAACTCCATACCAGGATGAATAACAACTAGCTAAGGCAAGCATTTTAAGGAAGTCTGAAGGCAGGGTTCTGAAGGCTACCTCCTAGGGTCTTTCAAGGAAAAGTGCCTTAACAATATCAGTGCCAGTCCCTGAAGCACTTAATTTGAAGGTAAGCGATAGCAACAAACAACTAACATCAGTGATGAAGGTTCTCCCTTCTTACCCTGGATGTGAAGGGCATTTGGCTGAAAAGAAGGGTTTTCTGCTGGCTGGTACATCTTTAGAGGCATCCCCACAAGCTCTGGAAGCTGAGGAGGTTGTGGAGTCTGTCTCTGCATCATGGGATGTTGAACGGTCATTCTCTGGGGGCTGATGTGATGAGAAGGAGCTGGAGCAACAAACCTAGAAGTTCAAAACCACAAAACTGTAAGATCTCCAACACATAAGAGCTAAAGATTGTTTTTACTTTATTTAGATCACTTTAGTTATTTGCATAGATACAGACTTCCAAAATAAGAGTGTGCAGCCCAAATACAGATGACATATTTTTAAATGGTGATATATCATTAGACTTGACATCTGGGAAATTAGCAGGCTGAATTGCCCCTTATCATGGAAAACCACTTTTAATCCACTCCTTCTGTGTGTGTGCCTAAGCCATAATTGGAGGAAATGCCTCGAGGGGGACTTGATTTTGGAGCCACTGCCAGCTGTTTATTGTAAGCCTTTGTATCAACTTTATTTATCAATAAAGATCTGTTCTTGTTCACTGACACTGAGAGATCAGTTCAAGTCATTGGCCACTGAGGTGTGAGGTGTTAGGTTCAGGCCCAGGTTTTAGGCTCTAGAAATTTTTGTATGTTACATAGAGCTATTTGAAAATAAACAATCTGATGTCAATATAATGCAAGTAAGGGCAAGTGTTAAATTGCTTCCAGAATCTGACTACATCAAAATGTTGATCTGGACTTAAACTGTAAACTTACAAGACTGGCAGAGGAGAGAATGCTTGAGAACAAATCTGGTGGTGCAGCAGCCACAGAGGTTCATCACCTCAGGAGGATATTTTGCACAGCTCTGGCACTACTGGCACTACAAGGATATGCACTACTTTTGAAGATTTTACACCAGAGTTTTATGGAATTTAACTTTTTACTGAATTTTTTCTGTGTTTCCTTGAAACTGCATACCTCAAAGTACATTACAGATGGGTCATGCAATTTTTTTTGCAGACAGAAAGCTAGGATTTTAAGAGCTTCTCTTTGTGCCCCAAACCACCCAATAGACTGATGGGATTCAGCTAGTTAATGAAAGCTCAGGAATGGCTCTGGGCCACTTTTTCGTCAATGAGAGGAGAGCTGGAAACATTCCCAAACACCAAAAAAGAACCATGATATTCCTGCAAGAAGGTGAGTGGAAAGTGGCATGTCAAATCTTGCTGCAGATCAGCCTGTCTCTCCACCATTAAAAATAAGCTGTGACTCTGCTGAGGAGGAATACCCTTCTCTGTGTGCTCAGTGGCTGCTAGGAGGGATCAGTGCCTGCAGTTAACACAGTCTGCCAGTGTTCTAAACTATGGATCTGGTTCCTGTTGTCCTGAGACTGGGCCTCAAAAGACTAGATTACTTTTTTTTTAACCCAATAAAAAAGCATGTTTTTCCTAAAAAAGTGTCAAGGAAGTTTTTATCACACCCTGAAGACAACAGAAGGTGTAACTCCAGTAGCAGCTCTACAGAACACCTCTGGGCAGGGTCATCATACAGGTTATAATTGTATTTAAATACAAGTCACTTGAGGTCTTTCATGCTGCAGCTAAGAATCGTATCTGTCACATGTTATCTCTATGTGATTTTGACTTAATTTGAAATGTATTTACTACATTTCTGGTGAATCATAATCTACATTTAGAGTGTAACAAGTATCAAGATGAACTTTAGATGATGTACTGCCTATTCAGTTTTCTGTGAGAAGCACATTTTTAAAGCATATTAGGTAGGGTTTGGATGGTCCTGGTGTTAATGTGATATTAACTCCATAAATATATATTACTTCAAAAATGCTATATGGGTGGAGGAAATAAAGATGTTTCTACTGAACCATTGAGTCTTTAATGTGTCAAATATTTAATTGTTCCAGATAACTGATGCAGAGTAGACTGAAAGACATACCAGGGAGGAAGAGAACAAAGCATGCACATATTTCACAATAATACTATTGTACAATTTTTTTTAGAACGAGAAATCAGTAGTTATATTGTGATAAAAATATCAGACAATTTTAAAAAGTGCTGTAACTACATGGTTATATGTCTCCCGAGTCTCCTGCCAGAGACTGAGAGGCAAGAACAGACAGTTTTTAAATATTATGATTATTTTTAAAATCGTGGAATATCATCCATTGTGTTTTCAGGATTAATTTGGGAAAATTAATTTCTGAAAAATTATTTTAACCAGTAGCCACTAATGGGAAAAATCCTTTTCAAAACTAAAAGTGGAAAGCACAATTTACAGATTTACCTTTGATTTAACATCCAAAAAGATTCCTCCCAATAATAATACACTATATTTTACAGCCAGACAGGACTCCTTTTTAGTAGACATAAGTGGTTTTATAATTATTTATAAATCAACATGGCTTACCCATATCCACAACTATAGTTAACTACTTTTTCTTTCCTTCTGCTTAACAAAAGAGAAACATGTACTGGTCACAGCGCAGATTTGTCTCTGAACAAATCTCATTATATTCCTGGGAGAACACCTAATTTAATTTTGTTCCTGAAACACTCAGGACCAGACTGTAATCACTTGGAAACTGCAATCAAGAGCTACAGTCAAGCCCAGGTGTCAATTCAATCAGGAACCAGTCAGATTTGCAGAAAGTTGCTCTGTCCCATGCCTGATCCAAAATCCAAGCAGAAATGTTTCTGAAGACATTAATTTTTTTTTTTTCTTTTCCAATTTTAGCTGTGAAAAAGTGTCTTGCTGGGGGGAATGACTAGATTTGGTAGTAAGCAAGATGGATGACAAAGGTACCAAAGCTTACCTGTTTTGATGAGATTAGTTAAAATGCCACATACAATGCCACATACTTTACTGGAGCTGGCCCAGTAAACAGTCACTACAATTACATGCACAACCCAAGAAATGTGTGGAAAAGGAAGGGAAGAGGAAATCTAAGAGTCATAATATAGAGTATAAATTGTGTATTTATATAGTGCTTTAATTTAGTTAATTTTATCATGGTTGGCCATCTACAAATAAATCCTTTTTCGAGTGGGGAAACAACCTCTTATGTCTCTGTAGCAAGAATATCTGTAAGATGTTTTTTCACCTAGAAACCCAAGTGCTTCACAACTCCTCAATTTATTTCACTGCAACTGAGTATTTTTAAAAATTTTAAAAATATTTTTCTGTATATATTGAAAGAAAGGAAACTGCACCTGCATATAAAAGACGTAATTTGCCTACCATTAATCCATGCTACACTATGGCACAAAATGCTACTAACATTAAATATTTGAGACAGCAACTATGTAACTCTGTTGGATGTAGCTCTGTCTTAATTCTTCCTTTTTTTTCCTCAACTTTGCAATGTAAATTAAAGCATATGTCACCATTCAGACAAAATGAATCCTTATGGTTGCTACAGATATGTTGCTGAAGTGGAAATTGAACATTAAAGCTGAAAAACCTGATTTTCTTTTTTTTTCCTTCAGAGGCCATAGTTTTCTTTGAACTACTTGTAAACACAATTTATTGGCTTGCTGCTCTTTTAACTGGCTGAGTCCTTTTTGCTGAGCTTCAGCAGTTTGGGAACATATCCAGATGATGTTAATGCAGTTCACAGAGTAAGGTGATCAGGATTTCACCTCGCTGAGCTGAAGGTTTGGCTGGACAGAGGACTGAACTACAAGCTTCCTGTAAGAGGTTGCTGTCTCCAACACTGTCCTGTACAGTGCTGAGCTTTCTGACAATGTTAAATGAAGAAAAATCCATGATCATTCCTTCCTGAATGCCTTTTTATTTCTAAGAAAATCCAGAAAATCTGGGATGATGTCTCCATTCTCTGCTCTGACATTCTTTCTGTGAACTCACATTCTTTGAACTCACACTTTATGCTGTGTCTTAGTGTCTTTACAGATCCTCAGTCTGCTGTCCGTGAAGGAAACATTCTGTTGTAACACAGCATTGTGAAACCCAGCATATTGCACTATAAGTTAGTCTAGCTACCTATCAGTGACAATCAAATAAACATGTTTTAGAAACATATTTAAGGAAAGCATACCTTTTGCCAGGAACGAAATGGAAAAAATAAGATGTTTTCCGCAAAGTTATGAATATATTCATTTGACCAAAATAACAAAAGCCTAATTTTTTACCTACCTATGATGCATGTTTCTCTCCAATGATTTCTCTGCTACAAGTTTTGTGAGTGTTTTGGTTTCAGAGGTTTTTGTTCGTTTGTTTGGGTTTTTGTTTGTTTTAGTTTGGTTTTTGGGTTTTTTGTTGTTGTCGTTCTTGTAATCTCTGGGGGGCCCCCTTTGGAGGTTTTCTCCCAGATTTGCCCTAATCCAGGACAGGAATGCAATCTTCTTGCATAACAGAAATATTTTGGGCAAGAAAATGAAAATCTAGCTGAGAGAAGGGATGGCAGAAAGAACAAACAACCCCTCTGACCAGTACCTCATCTTCTCTCTGGTGAGAACACGAAAGAAGAATTCAAGCGGAATTTAAACAAGAATTTAAGGAAGGGAGCTGTGAGCAGGCACCTCAATATATTCATATTAGTGCAGCACTCAAAGTTAGTATCAAAGAGCTGGGACAGACAAAGTGTAAATCTGCACTTTTATTATTTATTCTCTCTCCTTTGATAAATGAAGTGATTTCTTAGATTCAAACTCTCTAACTGCCTTACACTATGTGTTCTCAGAGTTTTGTACACATAATGAATGCAATGTGAGATGTGTTCCATGTTTGGCTGTTTCTCACCTTAATAAGGCTTAATCAAGTCCACACTTTCCCTCCCACCACCTAGAAGAGAAAGATTTAAAAGAAACCCTCCCATTATTTTTCTATCCCATGGTATGTGGAAATGTAGGGAAAATGCTTATTTCCTTCTGCTTCTGTCTCTAGTAAAACTGAGTCTGCTGTCCAAAAGTGGCACAGGCTTGGCCCCCAGCATCATAAAACAGCCAGGCCAGTTTGAATCAGCTTCAGTCCAACAAATACAGACTTCTGCTGCAACAAGTGCTGGTCAGCCTGTCCTAGCTCTAAAATGACCCTGGGCATGCACAGTGTGTCAGGAACCACACAGCACATAACCACAGAACCACAGAACAGTTTGGGTTGGAAGGGACCTTCAAAGGTCACCTAGTCCAACCCTTACTAGCATGAGGGGCAACAGATGCTCTACTTGCATCCCTAAATCCTGCAGTCCTCTAAACAATGAGGTTGAAATAAACAGAATGATTCACACATTTCAAAGTCACTATCTCTGCCACTTTCTCTACTGAAGGTTTGTTCATGTTTTTGCTGTTCTCATCACACCCATGAAGTGAGGTGACAGCCTACTCGCAAGGCCCCTAGGTGAGTGTACTGTGTTAGATTCAATATACAGATGTTGCCTTAGCTCTTTGTTTAAACATTTCCCTTAACTTCTACCCTATGTATTGCAATCAAACCAACACTGCTGTAATACTTTTTTCCTTTTCTGAATTTAAATTGTCATTTGTCACACTACCTGAATGAAGACACTGGAACTTTTTTTAAATGTAAAACAGGTCCACATATGGGAATTAGCACTTAAAGCCTTTTTAGAGAGTGTATACACATGATAAAGGAGTATACCATGTTAGCTTTTTATTATTCTCTAGAGTACTCCATTATCTTGATATCTGAAATGCATTCAATGAATTAGGAAGTCTCACTCTAGGCACCTCTGCTATGGTTTTACAGCAGAATAACCTCAGAAATGGACTAATAAGATCACTGCCTTTTATAATTACATTTATACCTATAACAACTATTAATGTGTCCCTGCCTATCACCTCATGCTCTGGCAAACATCAGGTACGGAGGGACAGGCCATGCATTGAAGAGGGAACTGTACTGGGACAGAAGAGCCTGTGTCTCAGGCAAGAGAGCATGGACAGTCCCAGAGGTGTGCACAGAGGGCCAGAGTCAGCACAAGGGAAAAAGACCAGGATCATGGGGGCAGGAGTGGGGAGGAAGGAATGAACCAAGTAGATGAGCTCCAGGGATCATGAGGCAGTAAGCCCCATCTCAGACAGATGCAGAACTGGCTGAATTCACATGTGAAGTCTGAAATAAAAACGTACTTTCGCCTGTTGTTAATTTCCCGACGCAACATGTTCTTCTATCTTCCTGATACAAGGCAGAGTGAATATTGCTTTCATCCAAAGAAATTATACTCATTTACCAGTAATTGAAATCTAGTGAATGTTGTTTTCAGGTTTATAATTGGGGATTTTGTACTCTTCAAATTACTGTCATATCTGTCACTCAAGGAAATTAAATACTTTGAAATACATTAGTGAAATACAGCAATTTATCACTTAGAGCACTGAAAAAGAAATTTTAAAAATAATGTCTAAGTATCCATGAGCAGATAGTAAGAGTTTAGTATTTAGTGTGATGATGTTATCTTCTTGACTTTTCCACTAAAACCCATTTACTTAGGCCTCTTCAGACTTGTGATTTGGTAGACTTCTGGTTCAATGTACTATAGATTTCCACATCTGTAGTACCATACACTATCTAAATCATTGGAAAGAGTGCTGAAAATAATTTAGGGAATGTCTAAGGATGAAAATCAAAACACATCTGAGCAATTGATTTTTATGTCACCGAAACATCTAAAATAATAGAATTTACCATACTTAACCAGCATATAATAAAACATGCATAACTGTCATAAAATAAATCCTGACTATAAATCAAACTCAAAAAACAGTGAAATAAATATTTGTTCATTTTCTATTGTTCTTCATAAAATGGCAATTAAAAAAAAAAAGGCAAGGTCTTCCTTCAGAAATGCTTAGTATTGGGAGAATATTGACAGAATATGACTCTTCTCCCACAAGTAAGCAGAAGCATGAATCTCAGGGCCCCCATTCTGTAAGGTATGGCTGTGGTCATCTGAAGTTCAGCGTGGCAGCTGGTATCACTTTCCTTTCTTGGGCCCTTCATTGGGATCAAGAAGGGATTGGAGATGGATGGAAAATCTCCCTCTCAGACTGGAATAACACAGTCCATTTCACCTCTCCTCCTGATAAACCCCTATCCAGAGCAGCTGTTAGGCCAGGGCTGCCACCAGTGCCTTTCTGTACACCAACAATTGCATGTCCCCCCATCTTGGCAGCTCTGAAGACAGTCAGCCTCAGGCTCAAGCTGGGAAGCACAGGCTCTTACCTCTCCGAGTCTGCAGCTGTGAGAAGAGGTATCTGGGGAGGATGCAGAGGACTGCCCTGTATGTTGTGTCCTGGGGAAGAGTGGCTGCTGGGGTGGGACAAGGACACTGCTCCAGCTGCTGCTCCACTTTGATTTATCTGTGTGCTGGGGATCACAGCTGCTGAAAGTAAAAGAGAAATAATGATCATCAGGCAGGAAACAACACTGATAACTGACCAAACAACAACAATATTGATAAGTGACCAAACACCAACATGCAACCACTCCTATTAAGCTGTAGTGCCAATTCTTAGCAATTAAGAAAACAAAGAGTTTTCTGATGTGTTGTTTTCTGTACAAAGGGAAGAAGAAGACCCACATGAAAATAAGCAAGTATTCTTTGCTGCTTCCAAATTACATTTCCATAAAACCAGGCATGAATGATCACAGCCATGCTCATTGTCTCAGAATTTTTTGTCTGAATAAGGCTGCAAATCTTCTATACTTTCCTATTGTAGATGTGTCAATATTACTAAGATCTGTATTTTTAGAACCAGTGAACAGAACGAACAGTTTCATAAAATGTGAAATGCTTTCTACATTTTCCCCTCATCTGTAAAAATGACAGATGAGGGGAAAAATGACAAATTTCTTGAAGAAATCCTATCATTGGCCCAGATTCCTCAAATTTTAAACCATCTTTAACAGCTTAATAATTTTCTGTGTGTTTTCTCTTGTATTTTTTTCTAATAAGGAAATTTTCCTACCTGTTTCCTTTCTGACTAAACAAAAAGCAATATAAGACTTTGTTCAAATGAGCTAATTAGTTGATCCCAAATCCTGTAACCTTATTTTCTGGTAGCACCTTTTTAAAAAAAAAAAAAAAAAAAAAAAAAAAAAAAAAGTTTAAATCAGAAAAATTTAAATCTTTGTATCTCTGAAAATCCAGTTACCCACCTACTTCTACTGACATTTGTGCCAGGTAGCTTATGCTGATGTTGACTGGTAGACAAATTCATGCTCTTAAATATTTTATGAGCCCAGTGAATGAATTAGATAGTCTGTCTAAAAGATAAAAATGACTTCTCCTGTTTGTCTGTTGTATCTTCCTATGTCTTAAAAAAAAAAAAAAAAAAAAAAAGTATTGTTCAGGCCTAGGTTACAGAGTAAAATTATACCTATAAAATTTTCATTATGCTAGTGAATACGTTGGAGCTAATGATTTGAATTTCTTGATAAAATCCTAGAGTTTAAACCAGTTCCCCAGGGGGCACTGTCAGTAGTAAAACATCTTTCTAGGCTGAAATATGTCCATGTATGCTGCAATCCTTGCAGAAGAAAGACTGCATTAGAGGTAGCCTCACCATAGATCAGTCTTCAAGGAAATTATTTCACGGGTCATCATTTTCTCATTCACAGGCGTCAATTTTGCTACAGAAGATCAAAAAGGTGAAAATTCACCTCATCTCCCAAGTCCTCAGCCTCTTTTTGGAAAGACTTTATTAATCCTTACAAGCCCACCTTTGTGACCCACTGGAATTCACCAAGCTAAGATAGAGTTAGAAAACGCTCAGGAGTCTAATCATGCTGTAGCCCCTTTAAGGAGCTGCCCTGGACATCTTTCAGCTGGTGGAAATGACACAGAGTGCAAGACAACAGACAGGAAACCACTTTGTGAATAAAAGCATCCAACACAGATGCTGTAGAGGTAATGTCAAAGATTAGGGGAAGTTGACACTGGTGGTCAAAGCTGGAGGAGCGGAGGCTGACTTTGGTGCCAGGCTCTGCTCTTTGCTAATTTGTGTGTGGATCAGAGCCTCCTAATCACAACCCAAGTGACGACAGACATCTGACAGCAGAAGACATCCCAAACCTTAAAGAGGAATAGAGGAGGCAGGTCTCGCAGGAAGATGAGGCATCACTTAAAACAGCAGAGTAAATTGCAAAGAAGAAGCTGAGGACATTTTCTTACTAAGACAGGGGAATTTTTTTTTTTCCACTTTGCTCATGCACCCCAAAAGTTACTTTTTCCATGTCTGTCTCTCAGCATAGCATCAGGACAAGTGCAGAAGATAAAAACAAAGGAATGAACTTTTGAAATTCTTATTTTATCTTATATGCAGCACAGAAGAAAATACTGAAAAACAACCAAGCACACATTCTGACAGCAAAAGCAGAGAGAATATTTAACGAATCAGGACACTGCAAAGGAAAGCCCTGATTGTCTAAATAAAAAGAGATTATTTAAATTATTCCTTGGCAAAATAGGGTAACTTGCATTTTATTATGACAAAAACTAATAAAACTGTGCAAAAATATACTATGGCTTAGTTTACCAGTAACTGTGAACTTTGCATTTAGAATTAACCTCTTCAGGATCAGGAGTAAAAAGCTTGGATTATGACCAGGTCTTCAGCACAAGATAGCAAGAGTTGTTCATCTTGACGTAGCTGTTCTCTTCCACAACCATCATTACCATTCCATGCAAGTATTTTGTAAGCCATGCTTGCACATTTTCTAGCTGGTTCAGGCTGTGTTACATGTGAGTTACTTGCTCAAAGTGTTGCCAGTAAATAGCTTCCCAATGCCTTTTCAATCCTGATCCCATTAAACTCCTGATTCAGATGGTATGAAACTGAGCAAGGCATGGCTTTAGGAGGGGTCGGTCGTGTTTGACCAACCTGATCTCTTTTTATGAGCAGGTGACCTGCCTGGTGGATGCAGGAAAGGCTGCTGGTGTTGTGTACGTGGACTTCAGCAAGGCCTTTGGCACTGTCTCCCACAGCACTCTCCTGGAAAAGCTGGTAGGACAGGAGCACTCTTTGCTGGGTTCAGAACTGGCTGGATGGCCGGCCCCAGAGGGTGCTGGTGAGCGGTGCTACATCCAGCTGGGGCCAGTCACCAGTGGTGTCCTCAGGGGTCTGTGCTGGGGCCACTTCTGTTCAATACCTTCATTGACAACATGGATGAGGGGATTGAGTTTTTCATTAGTAAATTTGCAGATGAAACTAAGCTGGGAGAGTGTGTCGATCTGTTGGAGGGTAGGAGGGCTCTGCAGAGAGACCTGGAATGGTTGGATGGACGGGCAGAGTCCAGTAGGATGAAGTTGAATAAATTAAGTGCCGAGTCCTGCATTTTGGCCACAATAACCCCCTGCAATGCTATAGGTTGAGGATGGTGTGGCTGGACAGTGCCCAGGTGGAAATGGACCTAGAAGTACTGGTGACAGCCGACTGGACATGAGCCAGCAGTGTGCCCTGGTGGCCAAGAAGGCCAAGGGCATCCTGGTCTGTATCAGGAACAGTGTGGCCCCTGTACTCGGCACTGGTGAGGTCACACCTTGAGTGCTGTGTCCATCTCTGGCCCCTCAGTTTGGGAAGGACCCTGAGACGCTGGAGCGTGTCCAGAGGGGGCAACGAGGCTGGTGAGGGGCTTGGAACACAAACCCTGTGAGGAACGACTGAGGGAGCTGGGGGTGTTTAGCCTGGAGAAAAGGAGACTCAGAGGTGACCTTGTCACTCTCTCCAACTCCCTGAAAGGAGGTTGTAGTCAGGTGGGGGTCGGTCTTTTTCTCCAGGCAGCAGCTGACAGAACGAGATGACATAGTGTTAAGCTGCACCAAGGTAAATATAGGTTGGATAGTAGGAAAAAGTTTTTCACGGAAAGAGTGATAAAGTTCTGGAATGGCCTGTCCATGGAGGTCGTGGAGTCACCATCCCTGGATGTGTTTAAAAAAGATTGGATGTGGAACTTGGTGCCATGGTTTAGTTGAGGTGTTAGGGCATGTGTTGGACTCAATGATCTTAAAGATCCTTTCCAACCCAGTGATTCTGTGGTTCTGTGAAATGTTTGTGACAACCAGCATGCTCACTGACTCCAGTATAGCATCACCACATAGGTCCAAACACAAAGATGTATAATTGTTAGTTTTAAGTGGGTTTTAAACCATAGAGAACAGGTTTAGATGACAGGAAAAATTCTCTACTGTGAAGTGGTGAGATACTGGAAAAACTTGCCCGGAGAAGCTGTGGATGCCCCATCCCTGGAAGTGTCCAAGGCCAGGCTGGATGGGTCTTCGAGAAACCTGGTCTAATGGAAGTGCCCCTGCCCATGGCATGGGGGGTTGGAATCAGAGGATCTTTAAGAATTCTTCCAATGCAAACCATTCTATGATTCTTGCAGTCTATGTAACAAAAAGGATTGCTACAAGAAGGCTTATCAATTCAGGATAAACGAAGACCTTTAAAGCAACTTTAAACATATTCAGATATTTTGAAAAAAACCCAAGCAACCTCAATAAAAGCCAAAGAATCATGAATGCTGTTCCTCTGTATCCCTTAAAAAGTCCAAACAACAACATTATTTACAAGATGGATATAGCTTAGTCCCAACTTAGTCCCGGCTATGAACCTCAGATTGGGTGACACACACAAAGTTTCAGCCAAAGAGAGGGAGGAGTCGTGTTTTCTTTTCTGGAGTCTCATCACATATCCATTTATCAGTACATAAGAATTTTCCATGAGAATTTTTCTGCAAAGTTGTCTATGAGAAGCTAAATTCACATGTACCCTCACAATGCATAGGAACAATTTAGGTGTTTGAAAGAGAAAAGGATGATTCTGAATATGGCTTCTTTTAGAAAAATAAAGCCAAAAAGTAGCATTGAAAGTGGCACAGAATCTAAGGCCAAAAAAAGTTATTTTTCAATGGAGTCAGAAACCTGTAATTTCATGGAACATATTTATATGCAGAATTTGCAAATTACCACAAGTGCTCTAATTGAAGAGCATCTTGGATTTACTACCAGCACTCTTAAAAACAATTTCTGCCACCAAAATATCTCTCCTCTAATTATTGACAGTATGAATCTGGAGTAGGGCTGAGAGTTCTTACCATGTAGAAAGACAATGTGAATATTTAATTGTGTAGCTCAGTTAGTTACATACATACATTTGTAAGGTTGTTTTATTTTTTAATTACTAAATATAGCCTTCTATTTCTGTAAAGAATATTTATGAGCTCCTTGACAACAACTGATTTACTATTGCACAAAAGGAAAAATATGAAATAATTTTTGCACTTGGAAGCATCACCTGCATATATTCCCCTCTTTCACTTCCCATAGGAAGTCCACAGGATTTTGTAGCCAGGAATATGTGGATATGTGGTGTGTTGAGTTGTAAGTGGTAAGCCCAGCAAATGAAAAACCTATTTTCTGTTTTACCTCTATCCTCAGCTCATCTGTAAATCTGAAGTCTCCAGAGAACATGAAACTCAAGAAGCCATCATGCATTAAGAAGTGCAGCAGAAGTAAAAATTGCATTTTCAAGATAATAAATGTGTCTCCAAAGCTGATCTGTCACATGGACCACCTGCACTGCTGGCCTTTCTATGTCTTTTCAGGTATTTTACAGGCAGATCATAGTTACTGGAAAACATTAAAGTACTGAAGCAATAAAGCAGGGTCTGGACTAGTCTTTTAAGCCATTCCTGAAATGGCATCTCTAGATCACATCTCTGCCCTTCATTTTCTTAGCTTTTAGTGGATTGCAGTTTCTAAAGTTCAGTCTCATCATGATGAACAAACTACAAAAGGTGCAAGTGGCCATGTTGCCTACAATGTTTGTAGCAGCCCATTGGTAAATGTTCTTAAAAATGGGAACCCAAACATTACATCAATTTTTGGAGAACCATGAAGTTGTCTCAAAATAGAAATTATAAACTCATAAGTAAAACTGGTAAATAAAAGGGCAAGTCTGAGGGAAAGCAAACTATCCTTCTTAAACTAAGATAATATCATTAGCACTTTTTTGCCCCTTGTAATGTGTGTATGGTCCAGCCTACGACTACATCACATTAAGCAGGAGTTCTAGATATGTAGGCAATACTTAAATTCAGCCTAAAAGGCGAAAACAGAGAAACTCTTCATTATTGGTAGTCCTACATTACTGCTCCTTTTGCATCCATTCCCTACACATCAAATACAATTCTGTTTTTCATAGCAAGGGCCATTCATATGTCAGTTCTTCCTCCTCATTCTTGTTTTTGTCTTACAGGAATGAGCTGTAACTACTTTCCAAGGCTACCACCCTTAAAAAACCATTTTAAAAGAAAAGAACAGACCACTTTTTAAAAAAGAAAACTAGTTGCTTTTTTTTAGACATCTCTTAGGACTCACTAGGACAGGTTCTTTAATAAAATTATTTCAATAATTAATAATTTCATTAATCTATTTCTGTATGTGTCCTTAACCTCTACCTGCCTGTTGTACCTACCTACTTTCCTATCGTTACCTTAGATAAAAACTCCTGGGGGATTGGAATTTTTCTTATTATGTGAACAGAGCACCCAGCTTAGTACAACTTCAGTGGAGAAAAAAAACAAAGAAAAGCATAACTCAAGCAAAGCACAGCAAGTCATACACATAGAAGTAGTTAGGTCAAAGTTTCACAATACAGAGTAAGATATTATTTAAAAAATACTCAGAATTCAAGTAAGTTCTGTAACTTTAATGATATAATTTTTAAATTCCAACTTGCAAAGAAAATTATGCACTTGACAAGCTTTAGAAAGATCATTTGCTTGCTCTGGAGCAGAAATTAGTGTGATATTCAGTAACTACTTATAAATTAATTACACATTCTGGCTGATGCTTAAATATGAAATGGTCAAGTTTTATCCAAACAACACAGTAAAAAGATGGGGTGTTTTTCTGCTGCATTATTTATGATTCTTATGGGTTTAGTGATTCCAGATTGCTCTATACAAAATAAGTTCATAACATTTCACAGCAGGAAAAAAACATCAACCCCATGTTAATATGAGTGTATAGCTCTCATTTTCATTCTGTGAGTTGAGTAAACCAAAATGCCTAGGTATTGTTCAAAATTTAAATATAGATACTATCACAATGCTTAGCCGTTAGTCTGTTTGCTTTAGACCCATAAACATAATTTTGTGATAGTTTTAAGCAAAGAAGCTGTAATGATACCTCACTGTGTTAGCAAGATAATAGTTAGTTTGGATTTCTTCTATGAAGTAATAAAGACTACATGATAAGAAAATGCTCTTTTGAAGACTTAACTCCAAGTGACAGATCTGTATTCAAAAAGGTTATTGTTGTATTTCATTTAAATGTGCCTGTGTCTATAGATTCTGTATTTTATCAGTACTGAGAAACTATACAGTGGTCACTACAGGTGTTTTACTATGTAAGTGAAAATGGACTTGCATCTAAACAGGTACTTTTGACATTTCTTACCTATTTCTAATAATTTGCTTTCAAACATTTACTCTGTAGACTTCTTCTACAAGAAAAAAACCTACCTTTGCTTTAAATTTGCATCAATAGTAAGTGAAGTCACCTTCATGTAAGAAAAGTTTGGTTGGACACCACTGGAAGAATGAAAATTTATTCCTCCTTCTACTTTAAGAGTAGCACAGAGACACTTCAGGTAATGTGCTGTCTCAAAGAGTACCCAGTAAAAAATAATGTATTTAACTTTTCAGAAGCCCCAAAAATTGATGAGGTCATAGTGTTTTCCAGTTACAGAAAAAAAAGTTAAAGGAAAAAAAAAAAAAAAAAAGTTTTCAGTGAATTTTGAAGGGTAGCTTCTCTGAGGCAAGACACTTAGGTTTTTGTGCATTTTACTTTCCTGTCTATTGGACATGAATAATTTTCATGCTGCCATTTCAATAAAATAATTCCCTGCCTGTCAGATTTATCTAATTTGTTCACATCCTTCAGCATCCTTGATGAGTAGTTAATGAAACTATTTATTTCAACTGGATCAAGTAGTTGTCAAAATGGAGTGGCAAGGACTGCTTTATGCCTGACATAGTACCCTCTAACTGATGTGAAACAACACAAATGACTAGAACTACAAGAACTTTGCCAAATTATAGATAGCTGGGAAGATGTAAGAGAAAGCAGATTATTACTTACACAGAAATTAATGCTGATAAGAGTACATTGATTAATTACCATAAAAATTGCCATATAACAGGAAGCAGTGCCAGGAAAGAAACTTCCAAAATATATTATTATATCAAAGAAGGTTCATAGTTAGTAGTGCTGCAAACATCAAGTATTGAAAGACAATGCACGAATGAGACTACAGAAAGTAATGTCTCAGTCTCAGGAGCTGTCTATGAAACATCATGATGGCAGACAATTGCCAGCTGAGGGCTGGCTGGAGGCAGCAGCTTTACCCAGCTTGTCATGGGCAGCAGCTTGTTCAAGCCACTGTCAGCCTGTGTTTGGACTGACCCAGCAGACTGAGCTGGACATTTAAGCATAGCCTGGAAGCTAAGGAGGATGGCCGCAGACTGCTGTGGCCATCTCCTGTGAGAATATCCTCAATCTCTGAAACCTGACACACTGTCCCATCCCAGCTTCCATTCTGTCTAGGAACTTGAAAAGAAAAGAAAAAGCTGAGTCTTTGTTATTTCTCAGTTTTGCATGTTACACTTGGTAAAACCATAAATAATTTTTTAAAAAAATCTCAACATTCCTCACTATCCAACTCCCTCTCAATGCACAATGTAAAATAAACAACTATAACCAACTACATGTTCCCAGAGTTTCTATGGCCAAAATCACATTTTTAAAATGTGAAATTTCCCTGTTCTTTCACATAGTAAATGTCACACTCAGTCGGTACTCAGACCAAGGCATTTAAAAGTTAACAGCATACCAGTAATACCAACTACTTAATAAACTAGAATATAATCAATCACAGATTTAAATGTCCTGATTTTTGTCATATAAACCTACATCATCATCAACTATTGTGTGACTCACAGTATCCTTGACAAAAACATGAAATAGAATTGCTAGCTTTACAAACCTCTCAGTAAAATAAAACCACTTATTGAAGTGGCCACTTCATATAATGTCATTTTCATCACTGCAGATAACATCAATGAAGCCAATTCATTCACTTCCTACATCTGGTTCTCACTTAAAAGTTGGAGTGATAAAAAAAACATAATGCATTTTGCCTGAAAGTTAAAAACAGAGGCCCTCACAACTACTAAAATATTGCATTAAAAAATGTTAACATCCTGCCCATTGCCCTCTTGAGCTTTAAGGTTTATTATCACTCATAACTTACTGATAGTTTCAAATGTTAACAAAAAATTGTACACGTAGGCAAGTATGACAAAGGTATTTTAGTAGGAAAATCTCATATTTAACTGAAACAATAAAATAGGATTATTACATTTTTAGTGTAAATGTGTTTATTATATATTTATAGTCAAAATATGTGAAGTCATAATGCAGCATTTCAGTTCCTTACTGTAGATCAATTTAAATACTGATATGTGATCCATAAATAAGGCAGAGGAAAAATACTGTGATTTTAAATGAAGTAATTAATTCAAGATTCTACAAGGAACGGTAGAAGTAAATTGTCAGCAGAATCAAATGCCTATAGAGCAAAAATATCCATCTATGTTGTATTAGGTCTTTTGATGGATATACTATGATTGGTTCTCCTTCCCTCTGAAAAACATATAAAAACATGTTCAAAATCTGTCTTTTTCTATATGGCCTTTCATATTCTACCCTTTTTATGAGATAGATACGGATTTCAGAGTACATTCCACTCTACAAAATTATCCCTATCATTAAGTGAGGCATAATACATCAGCTTTTTATCTGTCTTATTTTGTACCTGGGTAAATATCACAAGCAGCCCCTGGGGAGTGTCCCATGGTACTATCTACAGCATCCTGTGGTGACAGGGCTGGCTGGAGGGGCTGGATTGCAAGGCAGTCATTCAGGATGTCCTGGCCAATCTCTGAGCTTGATCGCAACTGGAAAACAAGAGATAAAAAAGGAGAAATTGTAATGAAAGATGGACATGGACTAAAGAAGGGAAATAATCACAAAAATCTTTAAGATAGTGGAAAGCTACAATGAAAAAATGTTGAGCTTAGAGAAAGAAATGGAGCACATTCAGAAACCTTCTCCTTTAAATCATCATTAATACCATCCTTTCAATCTAGCAGGCACTTTTGGAATCTGAGGAAGAAAACACTTTCAGATGCTGAATAAGACTGTGCTTAGGACAAGCACTACTTGTACAGGTAGCATCTTGGACAGGACTTCAGTGCTCTCTTGTCACACACTGCAAAAGAGAGGAGTGGCCTAGTTAATGGGTATTGAAGATTTATCAAATGTCTGACATGCTTACAGCAGCAGAGGGGTACTGTAATGAATACAAATATTTTCATGCTTGTTTAATGCCCTGAACTGACTCACCATAGGACCAGAAGAGCAAAGGTGCTCATAACACTGGAAATGAGTGACTGGGAGCAACCACTTAGGAGAGGTAATATACAGGCAAATGGAAACAGGACCACTTCAATATGGACTAAAGTTGCCTTGAGACACCATTCTTAAACAGACTAGGACTATATTTGCTTCACATTACTGCAAAACAGAGAGTGCTCTGTCACAGCCAGTAATCCTAGCTGCATGCATGGCCACTTGCCTGGTACCTGACCCACCAACAGCGAGATCTGGCTGATCACCAGCAATTTCACTCTAGAAAAAATTAATAAACAAATACATAACAAATGTTTTCCTTTTGATGAAACTGGATAGAGAGTCTCAATGTGAGGCTGCAATAAAATGCAGTAAAAGACCACAATTTAAAAAAAAAATCCCAACACCAAAATAAGAAAAAGGAAGAAAGTCTGCTGCAGCACCCTAACAAGGATGGTATAGCTGTAATGCCAAACTGCACCCTGAGGTTTAGGACATATTACGAATGCTGCTGCAGGCTGCTGGGACTGATGCCTGTCCTGATCTGCTGCCTGATTTTATTGTTATATGTTAAAAAAAAAATAAATTGCCTGTTCCTTTAAGTAATTTTGGTTGATGTATTCATTTAAAAGCCTGGAAAATGAAGGTCTGTGCTTACAAGCATGTGGGCTACTGCAGTGGCTGAGATGCCCACAAATATCCTGTCATGTCATCCAGGTTCGTGCAGCATGATGGAAAGAGCCCTGACCTAGTGCACTTGGATATGCTGCACTTTCCCAATAAGCAAATCTCACAGAGATTACTGAAGCTTCTCCTTTCTTGTTTGGTGCCATGGTGGGTGAGCAGGTAACAGTTAACTAGAAGACAGCCTAGCACCTCTAAACAACTCCTAAGGGGAGGAAGAGGAACCAAAAGACTATTTCTGCACATACTATACTAAGAAATTAATCACAGAGAGGTTTTAATTTGAAGGAACAAAGTTCCAACATCCCTGCCACAGGCAGAGGCATCTTCTGCTAGATCAGACTGTTCAGAGCACCATCCAACCTTGCCTTGAACACCCCAGGGATGGGGAGAATGAAGAAAGAAAAGTAAGAGCAAATTATTCTTAATGCAACCATAAAAAGACCCATTGCCAAAAGATGACCCTTGTGCCACAAAATGCTGATAAAAACTCAAATTACTTTTGATAATATGCAGTACTGTAAAACCATGGCAACTGAGTGGAGAGTTGGTCTTGAACATCCTAAGCACCCGACCCTGTAGCTGGAGATGCGGCATAGCCTGAAATACCTACACACACACTCTGCGTGCTGGAGATTTCTTCTCTTAAAAACTTAACCAGCCATTATTAAGCCCAAAGGTACGCTACCTCTGTAAAGTACATTTGCTATTCTAGAATTGTAGGAAGGGGGAGAATGGGTGGGGAAGAGGGAGAAGGGAAGAAATACCCTGACAAATGATCTTGTTTATTATTCATATTTACAATTTGCTGTAAGCAGAAACGTTTCTCCCACTTTGGTATATGTCTTTGTCTGCTATTACCTAGTAATTGTGCTAGGTTTCCTAGCTATTATGAGTAACATGGCTATTATGAGTAACATGGCTTTTTTATGAAACTCAGTGCCTGTGAAATTAAATGTCAAATATATCCTCATTCAAATCCTTACAGTTACATTATTAATAAGCATTAAATTTCTGTGGAATCTAAAGTGAATAAAATACAAAAAATCAGACTTCTATAAAAGAATCAGGATTCTATCATACAGAATACATAATCACAGAAGATGCCTGTGTAAAGTTGTCTGAATTTTTTTTAAGAAACAGATAAATTTTTTATATCAGATGGCACTCACAGATAAAACAGTGAGAAAAAGAAGGAAAGGAGACATAAGTATTTACACATTAGTTACAAGAATTAAGTAATGTAAAATAAAATAGGCAACCACTTATTTTACAGATTTTTCTAATTTGCGCTGTTCAGGAATCTTGTATTTGCATATATTTTGATATTTAGAACAAATTTATCATGACAATCAGTGCTGGCATAAATTTTCTGGCTTTTCAAAACTTATAAAAATGAAGAAAACTGAGGATCATCAACAAAACACCAAAAATAGAGAAAGAGACAGCTGTGATGAGATTTCTGAGAATAGTTCCTATTTCATGCATTGGCTATGGTTGATTATTATTTACAATCACAAGGTCTAGAAATACAAGTCAGAAAAGGGCATAATCCAGCACACTCTATATCAGTCAAATATTTTTACATATTTCACAGAAAACTTATTAATTTTTTTAACTTAATTAAAAATTTTAACTGAAAGCAATGTCTTGCATTGTGACAAATGGAGGGAAATCTGGGCTATGATTCGTCTTTAATACATCAAGAAACACAGAACAGACAATGAAAAGCCAAATGATCTTAAAACCAAGTAAAAACCACAAACCATTCACTGCAACTGTAAAATTTTATCTTCAGTTAAAAAAGCAATAAAGGAGAAATAATAATTGACCAGCTATAACTGCTGCCATCCATTTCTTGCTCTGTTCTAACAACACTGCATGTCTTTTCTAGCCTGGACTGTAGATTTACCATCCAAATGAAAAAGGAATTTGACACTCTCTTCGACTTCTATATGAATTGTATCCCAGCACAGATCTCCCAGCACTGTGACTGAAATACGTCACTGCCCCATGATCATCTTGCTGCTTTCATGATCACCCAGCTGAGCACCAGTACAATCATGCTGGGACTGAAAACTTGGCAATCTGTTTTGAAGAATTGTATGGCCATAAAGTTACCTCACTGAGGGGTGAAATCAGCAACTGACAAGTCTGACATGGTGAGCACAGCCATTTTCTGTGTGCTGGAATGTAACCCATATTTATGACCGAAGTGCAAGTTAACAATCGCTCTACTCACTTAAAACTCCCCTGTATTTGATATTTGGTCCAAATAACAGTTTTTGAATTTAATAACTCAATGTTATGGTAAGACTTGTGAAGTTTTGTATTTGGAAATACAGAAGCACTTGCATTATCACAATGTGGCAGTTTTTTCTAATATACAAAACAAATAATATTTCAGTCATGGTTTACAACTGTTTTACTTCTGTGAAAATCAGCTAATGTTTATTGCCTTTCAGAACAATGAATGGAAATTCTGCTCCTGTACATTTTGCATATGAATAAGTAATTACCCAAATTAAATGAAACAAGCAGAAATAATTAGAAAGGTGTAAGATTCTTATTCCTCAGTTTTCAGTTTCATTATATTTGAATTCAAAAGCAGAGGCGTACTGTTGATTTGATGCATGACATAATCCCAGAGAAAATGTCTCCTTACAAGAAAAGATAATTTTAAAAATTTTTCTCTCACTAATATGTTTTTCTTCTGAGATCTGCATGTTTATGTACCACCTGACTAGTTTCTTCAGCATTGCTCCTATATAAGAGAAGTCAGACACCATCAAGGGAAACGCAATGATAGGTGTGTTTATGAATACACTTCATAAGAAAAGAAGCAGTATAGCTTGAGAAATCCTAAACGACACAAAATAGTTCAGTAACTTCAAAACCTGCCTGTATGTATTCAGATTAACTCGATTAATTCTTCAGCAAAGTCTAGACACCTTCAGTCATTCAAACATGTCAGTTATCTCATCAAATCATAACATTTTAAATCTTGATTACATAAATGTGTGCTTAATATACATGCATGTTGTGCACATAGTAAGGTATTTACATATGTAAGTGAGACATTAGTTATAGTCTATTTATTTTTATGCAAGTTAGATGTGTCTGCCATGTCTAAAATTAGCAAAAAAAAAAAAACCCTAAATACTGTTATGTTTCATTGACAGGAATTTTTTTACACTAACTGTAATAGTTCTATAGATGTGTTTTAGTTTTGTGTATAAAGACAAGGAGGAATTTCTGCTATTCACATAGTCTGTGTATTAAGTTTACTAATGTCACGTTCAACGTAGGTAGTTTTTACTCATCTTCATTGTCTGTAATTTAAGCTGGCATTGCGAGAGCAAAACATGACCTGTCTGGGCAGAGCCACATTGTACTAGCTTTTCTGAAGGAGTACCCATAATTTAATATTTACTTGTACAGTTAGAGTAAAATTATGTCCTGCTAGTATCATGACATTGAGAGTACACAGATGTCACCACCAGAAAATTTTAAGCTTATGAAGCGATGCTGTAAGACAGTATTTACTCCTATTATGGTTTGTCTTGCTGGATACAGATCATCCCATTACTCACAAAGATCAGCTCCAAGGTCCAGCACTTTCTTGCACAGTACTAAACCTTTCTGACAACAGACGATGATACAAAATCAATAAAAATTGTCCTAATTCTTGCCTCTGGAGGCTACAGACATCTTGGGGCAATGAAACAATGCAGACAGAAGGGACTTCTCTGTATCCTTTGTTTTCAGTGAGTCATCTGTGCAGGACTTTAGAGAGAAATGTTCTGCTAATTGTCCACCACAGCTTTCAGATATGCCTCTGTGTGTGTGTGTGCATGTGTGT